TAAATTCTATTTTAATATCCAGAATTTTTTTTAATTTTGTTCAACTATTTGTTTTGCCTTATTATCATCATTCTGGTATTTATTCATTCCTTTTCTGGATTCTTTGAAAATATTTATAATTGTTATTTGATGAACTTTGTCTAATGTGTCATGTAAGCTGCCATTTTATGGGGTTATTAATTTTAAGGTAATTCGTATTAACTTTAATAATTTATATGCTTTGTTTTGGGACTGTGACCCAGGCATATGGACACTTGCTCATTGTCAGCAAGCAATGTTTCTCAGTATAAAAATCTGGTCTCAACTTTGTTGAGTGAGTGTTTGGAGCTCCATTTGATTTTATCTTTGCTTATTTTAGCTTAGATTATGGTTTAGTTAATGGTGTTTGCTTTCAGTGTTGATGTATGAATGGGGCATGAGAAGTTGTTCCAGACCAGCTAGGACTAGGTTCATTTTCCATACTATTTCCTATATCAACTTTAAATTTTCTGCATTCAGGTTTTGATACATTTTAGTTGCATTTTATTAAGGGTAAAATATGACGATTTAATTTTATTTAAGGGTAGATTTATGACCCCAAGGGTTTGAGAGCTAGAGACCTGCCCCCTCCCCCAGGGGTCTGCAGCACTTGGTGAGCTTGCCCTGCCTCCTCATGGGGGCAGTGCTGGAGAGCTGGCCCCAGTGGACGATTGGAGAGAAGTCAGGCTGACCAGGGCTGACCAGGGCTGACCAGGGCTTCCCGTCCACCCACTCCACCCTCTACCCATTTACGAAGCAGCTGTTTTGTTGTTTTTCAAAAAGTTGTTTGGGTAAAAGGGTATACTGTGTAACATACCATGATATAATGACATTGCCAGGGAGAGATGATTTTGTTTGTTTTCTTTGCAGGGAAGGGAGAGAGGGAGTTTGCAAGGGCAAAGGGCAAATATTGAGGGACAGAAGATGAGTAAGATTGAAGTGCATGATGAAATGCTTAAATGGGAAATAGTAAGTCTGGAGAGGACAGGAGCTCCACAAGGAGAACAACAGAACCAAAAAAATTGAACACAGGGGTCTTTCCAGAGACTCATACTTCAACCAAGTACCACACATGGAGATAACCTAGAACCCCTGCACAGATGTAGCCCATGGCAGTTCAGTGTCCAAGTTGGATCCTTAGTAATGGGAACAGGGACTGCCTCTGACATAAACTGATTAGCTTGCTCTTTGATCACCTCTCCATGAAGAGGGAGCAGCCTTACCAGGCCACAGAAGATGACAATGCAGCCACTCCTGATGAGATCTGATAGACTAAGATCAGAAGGATGGAGAAGAGGACCTCCCCTATCAGTAAACTTGGGGAGGGGTATTCGTGAAGAAGGGAGAGGGAGGGTGGGATCGGGAGGGGAGGAGGGAGGGGCTTATGGGGGATACAAAGTGAATAAAGTGTAATTAATAAAAAAGAAAACAAAACAGAAAAAAGAAATGCATAAAGAATCAACATAAAATTAAAAAGTAAAATAAAATATTCCAACCACCCCCCTCAAAAAAACAAGGAAGAAAAAGAAAGAACAAAGCTTTAACACAGTAAAAACTTTAGATGGTATTCAAAATTTTCAAGTTATTTTAAAACATACTCTTAAGGACAGGGGAAATTCAGAATTCTTATACAGCGATCAAAATGAGATGAAATGAAAAAATAAAGATTTATTAATTTGAATGTTGTTGTAGATGACTATTAATATATACTATTGGTTTATGTTTTATTAACTCTGCTGTTAATCCTAAACAGCTGTATTCCCAAATTACCACACAGAGACTGGGATTTATTTAATTAACCTAGAACACAATGCTGGGCAATAGTTAGTCTATCCTAAACCTCCAAGCCCTCAGAGTTTCCTAACATTTAGATTTCCCACATTACACTTGCGTTTAGTGATATATTAGGTCTAGTCCATCTCTCCAAGTCCTTCCAAGATCTCTGCTCCTGCCTCCCAGCCTCCTCTCCCTTCCCTCCCACTCTTTCCTGTCCTCTGGCTCCTTCCCTCTCCCCGCCTACTCAACATTGTGGCTGGTTGTTTTATTTTGTCATTTTACACAAAGTTGAGACAGGTGATGCTTAGAAAAAGTATCACAATGGAATGTCCAGATTGAAACCAGAGAGTGGGGGAGAGAAATCAGCATTTGAATGAACAAGGGTAAGGTGTTTACATTTCAAAAGAACATTATACCAACAAAATGTGTTGACTGAAACAAATAGCAAACCAAATACCAAGCCATAAGGATATGTCATGCCACCAGTTGGTTTCTGGAATACTGATGTACAAGAGAGAGAGAGAGAGAGAACTGAATTTTGATGAAATATGACAATGAGTCTGTGTTCTTTATGAATTTGTTAAAATTTTAAAATATAAACTTAATTGTAAATAAATCATTCTTATTCTTTGTGTTCATCATTTTCTTTCCTTGATAATAGCTTTGGTTGTTTATTTGAAAACAGCTATAGAATCACTAAAAAATATCCTTGATTGAAACATTCCCCTTAAAACTTTAAAGGAAGGTATATTTTGATATATACTATCTTAGAATGCTAAACAAAATAACTTTGCCAGCATTTGAGTTTAGGCAGATCTCTGTGAGTTTGGGACAAGCCTCATCTACAAAGTGATTTCTAGAGCAGTAAGTTAGGAATATTAATTTTCTTTCTTTACATTAATTTTTTTATTTTTTATATTTAATCACAGGTTATATACTTTGTATCCCAGCTGTATCCCCCTCCCTCATCCCCCCATCCCACCCTCCCTCATCTCCTCCTATATAAAATTGGATGTCTTTAGGAAGGGGAAATATGAGAAATAATTGTTAAGTGGGAAAGAGATTGTGATTGCCAGGTGGAGGAAAAGCTTGAAGAGCTATACCTAATAATAAGTAACTCTGAAAAAACACAACAAAATCTACCACTATAGAACCTCTTAAAATAGTCAATATTTATATGGTATCAGTGTGTTTACCTCAGTTTCAAATCAATTTATTTCTATTTCATTTACTTTATGTAACAGTGAAAATATACTTTTGAATATTGAATTTAAAAATCTATATGAAGCCTGTAATGGTGGCTCACACTTTTAATTTAAGCCCTCAGGAGACAGGGGTAGGCAGATAGATATCTGTGAGTTTGGGACTAATATCATCTACAAAGTGATTTACAGAACAATCAGAGATATATAGTGAGACCCTGTCTTGACAAACAAACAAACAACAACAAAAAAAAAAAAAGAGAAAAATAATCTATGGCTTAAGGTGAAATGGCTAAAACCCCCAGAGATGATTATTTTGTTATGAGAATGTTAAGAGAAATTGAATAACTGCATTAAAGTCAAGGAAGAGGGGTACTGAAGATTAACATATTAAATTTACAATGAGTAAAGAGGGATTATTACAACCGATATGAAAAAATTCTAAAGTGTAGGCTCCTGATGACAAAAATGCTATTGAAAACTAAAATAATTTTTTTAAATTCTTTATTAATTACACTTTATTCACTTTGTATCCCCCCTGTGGTTCCCTTCTTTCTCCCATCCCAATCCCTCCCTTCCTCCACCCTCTGTATGCATGCCCCTCCCCAAATCCACTGATAGGGGAGGTCTTCTTTTCCTTCCTTCTGATCCTAGTCAATTAGGTCTCATCACGAGTGGCTGCAATGTCATCTTCTGTGGCCTAGTAATGCTGCTTCCCCCTCAGGGGGAGGTAATTAAAGAGCAGGCCAATCAGTTCATGTCAGAGACAGTCCCTGTTCCTATTACAATGGAACCCACTTGGATACTGAACTGCCATGGGCTACATCTGTGCAGTGGTCTTAGGTTCTCTCTATGCATGGTCCTTGGTTGGAGTATCAGACTCAGGAAAGACCCCTGTGCCCAGACATTTTGGTTCTGTTGCTCTCCTTGTGGAGTTCCTGTCCTCTCTAGATCTTACTGTTTCCCACTTCTTTCCTAAGATTCCCTGCACTCTGCCCAAAGGTTGCCCATAAGTCTCAGCATCTGCATTGATAATCTGCAGGGCAGAGCCTTTCAGAGGTCCTCTGTGTCAGGCTCCTGACTTGTTCCCTCTTTTCTCCTTCTTCTGATGTCCAGCCTCTTTGCCTTTCTGGATAGGAATTGAGCATTTTAGCCAGAGTCCTCCCTCTTGATTGAAAACTAAAATAAATTAATGACAGCAATACATGTATCAATAGTAATTTAATACACTTGTGCTGGAAGTTATCCATAGCTATGTAAGTGATGATATTCATTGCTATTTTTGACAAGCAGAAAAAGAGATACTATTAACAAGTTAGCTCTAACAATTCGATAAATAGGCGCTATTAACAAAAACTCAGGAGTTTTTCTCTGTAAAATAAAGACTTACAATGGGCATTATTGCAGGCTTTGGTTTGTTTTACACATACTTTATTAGGGGTTCCTTGACCTTCTCCCTCCCTTCCAACCCCTCAACCCGAGATAGGAGAGGAAGAAAGTTAATAGGAATAGGGGATATAGTCTTCTTTAGATTAGTTCCTTGGGGAGTTTCCACTCTTCCTCATCAGTCCAGCAGTCCAGAAATCCAGCAACCCTACGATAGCAAAAGCAGCAAAAAGACCACCAGCAGCAACTGGGACAGCAGCAACCTCCTTAAAGAGCGAGTGTTCCTTTCTAGGAGCAGCTAGAAGCAATCTTGAAGCAATATCTCTCTGTGTCTCTCTCTATCTCTCTGTCTCTGTCCCTGTCTCTGTCTCTGTCTCTCTGCTACTATTTATACCTTCTCAGAATCCACACCAGGATGTTTTTCAGCTGTCAAAACCAACGCTCCCTGCACAAGGCTGTTTCCAGCTGACAAGAGTCATTTGCCCTTTCAGGAGGAGGTTTTCACCTATGTGTTCCTGTATCCCACACGATGTTACAACAAAAACATCTACATAACATAATAACAGCTTCCACTACACGTTATTTTCAAGGTTATTATATTTTAAAACTGTATTTTACTCATGAATGGAACCAATTCCTCTCACAGAATTTTTTCATTGCCTCTTTTACATCTTTGTTTCTCAGACTGTAGATGATGGGATTCAGCATGGGAATCACAATAGTGTAAAACGTGGACACAATCATGTCATGTTCCAAGGCATAGTTGGAACTAGGTCTCACATACATAAAAAGAATTGTCCCATGATAAATGGACACTCCTGTCAGATGAGAGCCACAGGTTGAGAAGATTTTTCTCTTCCCTTCAGCAGAATGCATCTTAAGAATTGTAAAGAGTATGAAACTGTAAGAGACCAGGACAATCAAGATGGTGATAATCTCAATAGCACCCACACAATAGAACAGCAGAAGCTGATTTACATGTGTGTTAGAACATGAAATAGCAAGCAATGGAGGGATATCACAGAAGACATGCCTAACTTCATTAGATGCACAGAAAGAAAGGCTAAAAGTAGCCACTGTGTGTATGGTAGCATGCATAATTCCACCAGCATAAGAAGCTATGATTAGAGGTATGTAGACTCTAGGTGACATGCTCACTGCATAGAGAAGTGGGTTATAGATAGCTATATAGCGGTCATAGGCCATTGCAGCCAACAGAAAACATTCTGTAGTTCCAAAAGTAACAAAGAGAAACATTTCTGTCACACATCCAGGGTATGAGATGGATTTATCTTTTGAAAGAAAATTGACCAACATCTTTGGGGTGACAACCGTGGAATAACAGGCATCTAGGAAGGATAAAACACTTAAAAAATAGTACATGGGGCTGTGAAGCCGGGAATCTTCAATGACTAGAAAAACCAACCCCAAGTTTCCTATAAGAGTGAAAAGGTAGATCACAAAAAAGAAGAGAAATAAGAAAACTTCCAAGTCAGCATCATCTGTGAAGCCTGTTAGTATAAACATGGTGACTTCTGTCACGTTGTGCACTGGAATTCTTTGTACAGCATAACCTAGTGGACGTCTCGACATTTCTGACCATTACAGCTTATAAATTCAATGTCCTTGGAGAGCTCGGTCCACCCTTCACATCCCTGAGCTTGGGTTTAAGAAATTCATAATGAAGCTTTTCTCCTTGTGGGCAGTGGCAGTGATAAAGAAGTTGAGACCAAGGACATGCATTACTCTGTTAAAATAAATTGAAAAGCAATGTTTTAACATTTTTGCTGTGCTTTTTATATTTGGAATTAACCAATCTTGAGAATGTTCACTTTGTTAATTTTTCTCACCTTCTTTCATATTACATTGTGCTCATAATTATAAGCTTGAGGATGCACCCTATGGTATAGACAGGGTCTGTGTAATGAATTTCTCAGAGTCTGAATATGCACTGTAAGCAGCCATATATAGATAGTGAGATCATTTGAACTTAAATGAAGAAAACTGTATAAGCATCTACTAATGAATATGAGATAATGAAGCATTTCAAGAACTTGTCTTACATTTTAAATGCATTCAGGTCTGCATTTCTTTTGACAATTTCATGATGTACTATGATGAGCAGAACAGTCCATCATGGCATGGATCAGTCTTTTTTGAAAATAAAAACAAAACAAAATTAAAAAAAATTAATGTATTTTAGTTTTTCAGTTTTCTTTCTAGAAATAAACATTGATACATACTCATTTTTTACTTTTAGGGTTTTCCTTTATTTTTCAAACCAATTAACTTATAATGCAGGAGTTCTCAAATCATATGGCAATGATGTGTGAATATAAACAAAATCTATCCTTGGACCAGGCATGGTGATTCATGCTTTTAATTATAGCAGAAGCTAGCATTAAACTCTGTGGGTTTAGCCTAGTCTTCATAGCCATGTTCAAACCAGAGAAGGTAATAAGGATACCCTGTCTCAAAAAGCTAAACAATGTATCTTTGGATTTAATGAGATACTTTTGTTTCATAAATAATTCCTGGTCATTTCTTAGTAGTGGTTCTATGAAATTGATAAATCTATGATAAGTTGAATATATTTCAGTAAGAATCAGTATTAATTGTTACAGAAAAATTCCTCAAAAGAAATATTATGTCATGAACTACAAACATGTAGTGATGGGAAATTCTGACCAGAATCCTGGATCAGGTATGAAGCTTCTATGTTTGAAACACAAATTTCAGATTTAATGTAATTTGCAGCAAGTGTTCATTATGATGTCCTGGTAATGTAACCTTTTACCTACTGTAAAAAAATCTTGGTGTCAGTCTCTAAAATCAGAAAAACAAATTTTCAGGATGGCTTTTGTTTTCTTTTCAGTATTTCAAACAGATCAACATGTTTCAATTTATGAACAGCATCCTTACAGTAGGCTTGGCTGAATTTTTTGTGACCAATTAACTTATATTCAATATGAAGTACCTTGTTATTTTTGTATTAAAACTTCCACTTGTCAGCTGTACAGCAGTTGGACTATTCTAAAAGCAGAAAAGCACTTGTTTTTGTATTCCAAGAGAAGTCTTAGGTCCATGATGGAGGTTGGTTTGCTTTAGAGTTTATAGTGTGGGATTAAACAAGCAAAACATTCATTGACTTTTTCATGTAATTTTAGAAATCCAAAATAAAAAATAAATCAAAATCTCCCAGTTTTGTGTAAGGAAAACTAATGTAATTTTCATAAACATATACACAAAATAAAAACGTTTACTTTAATTTGAATATATTAATAAAATTAATTATGGCATGAATTAGCATATACAAATATGTGAAAGATAACATTTATCTAACATTATAAAAATGTTTCAGTCCTATATTTCTCATGGCCTTTTTCATTCCCCATCTTCTACTTAAAGAATAATAAGGATACATGTGGAAATATTCATCAAAGATTATCAGAAACACAATATAAATTAGGTAGAAAAAAACTGCACAAAGTAACAGTATACAGTCAACCATTTAGACTCTCTATGAAACCCATCTGCAAATTTGACTTTATTCATGTGCAGAAGAAAATTCAGTTACATCCCAAAGTCTAACTTCACATTCCTGACATTGCTGATAAAAGATGTTTGTAAGGAATTTGGAATATTAAATTTGAATGAAACTTCTGTGTTTAAATCTCAGATCTATTCCTTATTTGTCAGTCAGCTGGGAAAACTTGCTTCCTCTGTAACAAAGCACAGATAAGACTGAATAAAATCGTTGGTGACATCATACCTTGTTCACTCTTGAGAGTAAAATATTGCAGAGTTTATTATGAGATTCACCCGAATAAACATAAATATAAATTTATATTTTATTCAGCTCTAAAAATGAATAAAAATTAAACTCATAGTATTGAGATATTAATGGGGAACAGCAAGCCAACTATTGATACTTGTGTACATATACATACATATAATATGACAGAGCATATCTTAAAATTAATTTCAATGAGATTATAATTACTAAATGTCAGTCTCATATGTTTCAATGACCTTAAAAATACTGTTTAATTTCATGTGCTTATAATCTTGTAATAAACACATTTAGTTATATTTCCACTACTTTTTTTTTTGTTTGTTTGCTCGAGTGTCTTGCACTGAAAGAACAATTCATGTCAGGTATGTGATTATACATTCACTTGAAAATTATTCACTTGATAACACTCTTGGTTGTAAAAAAATGTTTTAATAAATAATTTGCCAATATACCTCATTCAACACCAAATTCCACTGAATCAATTATCTACTTCTCATTAGTTAGCAGGTAAGAGTCCCTGTAGCCATATTACATGTCTTTTAGATATTTTATCACACATGCTTACAGCACAAATATTTCTATATCATAGTAATAAATTATAATTATATATGTTTGACTTTCATGGGAAGAAGTTACAAAGGATATGTACTTATATGTAATTTATGATGAATCATGATCAGTCTGGTAGACCATTGCAAAATCAACTCGTCAGCTCTGTCAGAAAACATATATTGCTCCAGCAGCATTAGAAACAAAGAGATCACACAAAGAAGACAACGACTTCAGTTGCTATGTTGCTATGTTATTCTAATACTAGATTGGTTTGTAGAATATATGTGTGTTATTTTCTACAGTCTACTTAACAATCTGTAAAATAAATGATTCCACATATTTTTAATGAATTTAGAACTGAGATGACAGTTAGCAAAGCCAGGAATCAAGCTTCTTCATGCCCCTACTTGTGCTCTTTCCAGGGGATTTCTTGTGGACTCTTTAGGATGTACCAATACTAAGAAATCATTAACTCCTGGATTCAACACAACATCTCATATCTGACTGAGTTTACAAAGCAGCTAAGTTTATATAGGAGATGTCAATGGAAAGGATGAATGGCTTCCACATTGAATTCTTGTTTCTTGGGTTATATTTTTGTTTGTATTTTTTGTTTGTTTGTTTTTTGAGACAGGATTTCACTGTAATAACACTGGCTATCCTGGACACAACTTTGTAGATCAGGCTGACCTTGAAAACACAGAGACTTGCCTACCTCTGCCTTCTGAGTTCTGGGATTAAAGGTGAGTGTTACCACACCCAGCTATATTGAATTCTTAACCTTTAGAAATAAAGATAATTTTGTGTTAAATCACTTAATAACAACATTATCCCCAGAGAGCATAAACTAATTTTTGGTTTGCCATTTTTAAAAGTTTTTAAATTATTTTAAAAATTAATTTAATTTTTTATTAATTACAGTTATTCATTTTGTATCATTTTGTATCTCCTCCCTCATCCCCTCCCAATCTCACCCTTGCTCCCTCATCTCCTCCCATGCCTATCCCCAAGTACACTGATAGGGGAGGTCCTCCTCCCCTTCCATCTGACGCTAGTCTATCAGGTCTCATCAGGACTGGCTGCATTGTCTTCCTCTGTGGCCTGGTAAGCCTGCTCCCACATCACGGGGAAGTGATCAAAGAGCCTGTCACTGAGTTCATGTCAGAGACAGTCCCTATTCCCATTACTAGGGAACCCACTTGGAGAATGAGCTGCCATGGGCTACATCTGTGCTGGGTTCTAGGTTATCTCCATGCATGGTTCTTGGTTGAAGTATCAGTCTCAGAAAACCCTATACCTGACAGAGGGCTAATATCCAGAATATATAAAGAACACAAAAAGTTAAAAAGAAACAAATCAAGTAATCCAATTCAAAATGGCATACAGAGCTAAATAAAGAATTCTCTATACAAGAATAAGGAATTGTAGAAAACCACTTAAAGAAATGCGCAACATTCTTAGTCATCAGGGAAATGCAAATCAAAACGAACCTGAGATTTCATCTTACAACCATCAGAATGGCTAAGATCAAAAACTCAAATGAAAATACACGCTGGGGAGGATGTGGAGAAAGAGGAACCCTCCTCCATTGCTGGTGGGAATGTAAACTTGTACAACCACTCTGGAAATCAATCTGGCGCTTTCTCAGACAATTAGAAATAGTGCTTCCTCAAGATCCAGCTATACCACTCCTAGGAATATATCTGAAATATGCTCAAGTATACAAGGACATTTGCTCAACCATGTTCTAGCAACTTTATTTGTAATAGCCAGAATCTGGAAACAACCTAGATGTCCCTCAACTTAGGAATGGATACAGAAATTGTGGTACATCTTTAAAATTTTATGCATTCAAAATTTTCCTAACTTCAGCTATAACCCTCAATTTTTCTTCTATCAATCTCATATTTCTTGTGTAAGTAAAAACAGATTACAAATAAAATAATCTCTGGTAAAAACCATACACAGAAAGTGCCCTAGGAGACATATGCTTCAATCACAATATATATCTTCTTAGGTAAACTCTTATCATCAAATTACATATTACACTAATTGATAGTCTCTTCCCAGGGAAATACTACCTCTCCTGCTCAGAGTGTCAAATAAACATCTTTGAAAACATAAATATAAGTAACAGTATATCAGCTCACCTGGTTATATTTAGGACTATAGATCAACAATTATATATATATATATATATATATATATATATATATATATATATATAT